GTGACAAAAAAACACTCGCTTTTTTGACTTGAATTGTTCAGTTTTTCATTTTTTTTTGTATCTTCAGTTTTTCGATTTGCAATTTTTCGATTTTTCAAGTTTTTATTTTTCAAATTTTCATTTTCCAAATTTTTAATTTTCCGATTTTTCGATTTGCAATTTTTTATTTCGGTTTTTTATATCGTTTTTTCAATTTTAGTTTTTTCAGTGTTTCTATTTGCAATTTTTCAATTTGAGTTTCTCGAGTTTTTAATTTATAATTTTGCAGTTTTCGTTTCGGTTTTTTTTTTCTTTTATTTTTTCAAAATTTCGATTTTTCAATTTTTTGTGTTCTCAATTTTATTTTTTCAATTTCTCTTTTCTTCAATTTTTCAATTGTTAAAATTTTCACATCTTCAATTTTGCGATTTGAAATGTTCAGATTTTAGAATGTTTTGTTTTTTCGATTTTAATTTTTTCAATTTTTGGTTTCGGTTTTTTATTTTCTTTGTTTTCAATTCTAGTTTTTTCAATTATCCGATTTGCGATTTTTCAATTTAAAATTTCTTGAGTTTTCAATTTATAAATTTCCAATTTTTCGTTTTGTAATTTTTCGTTTCGGCTTTTTAATTTCGTTATTTTTTCAATTATTTTTCCATGTTTCGATTTTATAATCTTTTGTTTTTCAATCTTAATTTTTTTAATTTTTCGATTTGGAATTTCTCAATTTTGGTTTCTCGAGTTTCCAATTTATAATTTTGCATTTTTTCGGTTCAGTTTTTTATTTTCTTTATTTTTCCAGTTGTTCGATTTTTTAAAGTTTCGATTTTTAAATTTTTTGTGTTCTCAATTTTTATTTTTTCAATTTTGCGATTTTAAATGTTCCGATTTTAGATTTTTTTTTATTTTAATTTTTTCAATTTTTCGTTTCGCAATTTTTCAATTTGAGTTTCTCGAGTTTTCAATTTATAATTTTTCAATTTTTGGTTTCGGTTTTTTATTTTCTTTGTTTTCAATTTTAGTTTTTTCAATTATGCGATTTGCGATTTTTCAATTTAAAATTTCTCGAGTTTTCAATTTATAAATTTCCAATTTTTCCTTTTGTAATATTTCGTTTCGGTTTTTTAATTTCGTTATTTTTTCAATTATTTTTCCATGTTTCGATTTTATAATCTTTTGTTTTTCAATCTTATTTTTTTTTTTTTTTTCGATTTGGAATTTCTCAACTTTAGTTTCTCGAGTTTCGAATCTATAATTTTGCATTTTTTCGGTTCAGTTTTTTATTATCTTTATTTTTTCAATTATTCAATTTTTTAAAGTTTCGATTTTTAAATTTTTTGTTTTTTCAATTTTAATTTTTTCAATTTTTCGATTTTTAGTTTCACACGTTTTCAGTTCTCAGTTTTTCATTTCTTCATTTTTTGCAATTTTTTTCAATTTTTTCCAATCATTTCGTGCAATTTTTTGTTCGTTTTCTTTATTTTTTCGATTTTTCGATTGTTAAATTTTTCATATCTTCATTTGTTGGATTTTAAATCTTCCGATTTTATAATTTTATGGTTTTTTGTATTTTTTTTTTGTTTCTTCAGTTTTACGATATACAACTTTTCGAGTTTCCATTTTTAAATTTTTCAGTTCGGTTTTCCAACTTTTACATGTTTCAATGTTTTGATTTTGCAATCATTTCTTGCAATTTTTCGGTTCGTTTTCTTTATTTTTTCAATTTTTCAATTTGCAATTTTTCTAGTTTTCATTTTAAATATGTAATAATTATATATTTTAAAATTTTTTCACTCTTTCAATTTTACGGTTTTTCAATTTTTGGTTTCGGTTTTTTATTTTCTTTGTTTTCAATTTTAGTTTTTTCAATTATCCAATTTGCGATTTTTCAATTTAAAATTTCTCGAGTTTTCAATTTATAAATTTCCAATTTTTCCTTTCGGTTTTTTAATTTCGTTATTTTTTCAATTATTTTTCCATGTTTCGATTTTATAATCTTTTGTTTTTCAATCCTAATTTTTTTTAATTTTTCGATTTGGAATTTCTCAATTTTAGTTTCTCGAGTTTCCAATTTATAATTTACATTTTTTCGGTTCAGTTTTTTATTTTCTTTATTTTTTCAATTATTCGATTTTTTTAAATTTCGATTTTTCAATTTTTTGTGTCTCAATTTTTATTTTTTCAATTTTGCGATTTTAAATGTTCCGATTTTAGAAATTTTTTTTTTCTATTTTAATTTTTTCAATTTTTCGTTTCGCAATTTTTCAATTTGAGTTTCTCGAGTTTTCAATTTACAATTTTTCAATTTTTGGTTTCGGTTTTTTATTTTCTTTGTTTTCAATTTTAGTTTTTTCACTTATCCGATTTGCGATTTATCAATTTAAAATTTCTCGAGTTTTCAATTTATAAATTTCCAATTTTTCGTTTTGTAATTTTTCGTTTCGGTTTTTTAATTTCGTTATTTTTTCAATTATTTTTCCATGTTTCGATTTTATAATCTTTTGTTTTCCAATCTTAATTTTTTTTAATTTTTCGATTTGGAATTTCTCAATCTTAGTTTCTCGAGTTTCCAATTTATAATTTTGCATTTTTTCTGTTCAGTTTTTTATTGTCTTTATTTTTTCAATTATTCGATTTTTAAAAATTTCGATTTTTCAATTTTTTGTGTTCTCAATTATTATTTTTTCAATTTTGCGATTTTAAATGTTCCGATTTTAGAATTTTTTTTTTCTATTTTAATTTTTTCAATTTTTTGATTCGCAATTTTTTAATTTGAGTTTCTCGAGTTTTCAATTTATAATTTTTCAATTTTTGATTTCGGTTTTTTATTTTCTTTGTTTTCAATTTTAGTTTTTTCAATTTAAAATTTCTCGACTTTTCAATTTATAAATTTCCAATTTTTCGTTTTGTAATTTTTCGTTTCGTTATTTTTTCAGTTATTTTTCCATGTTTCGATTTTATAATCTTTTGTTTTTCAATCTTAATTTTTTTTAATTTTTCGATTTGGAATTTCTCAATTTTAGTTTCTCGAGTTTCCAATTTATAATTTTGCATTTTTTCGGTTCAGTTTTTTATTTTCTTTATTTTTTCATTTGTTCGATTTTTTTAAGTTTCGATTTTTAAATTTTTTGTGTTCTCAATTTTTGTTTTTTCAATTTTGCGATTTTAAATGTTCCGATTTTAGAATTTTTTTTTTTCGATTTTAATTTTTTCAATTTTTCGTTTCGCAATTTTTCAATTTGAGTTTCTCGAGTTTTCAATTTATAATTTTTCAATTTTTGGTTTCGGTTTTTTAGTTTCTTTGTTTTCAATATTAGTTTTTTCAATTATCCGATTTGCGATTTTTCAATTTAAAATTTCTCGAGTTTTCAATTTATAAATTTCCAATTTTTCGTTTTGTAATTTTTCGTTTCGGTTTTTTAATTTCGTAATTTTTTTCAATTATTTTTCCATATTTCAATTTTATAATCTTTTGTTTTTCAATCTTAATTTTTTTTAATTTTTCGATTTGGAATTTCTCAATTTTAATGTCTCCAGTTTCCAATTTATAATTTTGCATTTTGTCGGTTCAGTTTTTTATTTTCTTTATTTTTTCAATTATTCGATTTTTAGTTTCACACGTTTTCAACTTTCGATCTTTCAGTTTTTCATTTCTTCATTTTTTGCAATTTTTTTCAATTTTTTCCGATCATTTCGTGCAATTTTTTGTTCGTTTTCTTTATTTTTTCGATTTTTCGATTGTTAAATTTTTCATATCTTCAGTTGTTGGATTTTAAATGTTCCGATTTGATAATTTTGTTTGTTTTTTTTTTAATTTTTCGTTTCATTTAGTTTTTCCATTCGCAATTTTCAATTTGCAATTTTTTTTTGTTTCTTCAGTTTTACGATATACAACTTTTCGAGTTTCCATTTTTAAATTTTTCAGTTCGGTTTTCCAACTTTTACATGTTTCAATTTTTTGATTTTGCAATTTTTCATTTCTTTATTTTTTACCATTTTTTTCATTTTTAATCATTTCTTGCAATTTTTCGGTTCGTTTTCTTTATTTTTTCAATTTTTCGATTTGCAATTTTTCTAGTTTTCATTTTAAATATGTAATAATTATAAATTTTAAAATTTTTTCACTCTCTCAATTTTACGATTTTACAATTTTTCATTCTTTCATTCGATTTTTAATTTTTCGATTTTTCAATTTTTCAGTGTTGCAGTTTTTCGATTTTGCAATTTTGACGATTTTATGTAATATTTTTGTCCTCTATCCAATTTTTCCATTTTTCGATTTTTCAACTTTTTGAATCAAAACAATGGAAAATTTCCAAAATTGTAAAATTACAAAATGAGTACTTTAAAAAATCTAACGATTAAAAATTGAGAACTTAAATTTATAAATTGAGAAATTTAAAAATCGAAACCACTTGTAAAATTGTAAAATCGAATTATTGAAAATGAAAGAAATCCAAAAATTGCAAAATTGAAAGATTTAAAAATTGGAAAATCAGTGATTTGAAAAATCAAAAATGGAAAATTTGAAGAATTGAATAGGTAGACGAAAAATTATGAAATCGAATTGAAAAAAGAAATAAAAAAAACAAATTGTGAGAGTGAAATCTAGAAAATGAAAAATAAATATTAAGAACTTGATTTTGGGACAAATTTGAATTTTTTAAATTTAATGAAATGTTAATACTAGTAACAATTCGTCTGTTTGACCAAACTAAAAAATTGTAAATTCATTATTGACAGATTGGTTGGACTTCGTATACGTCAAAATAACTTGTACAGAAAAAACCAGTTGGATCAAGCTTGTAAGAAGGAAGATATAGTTTATCGTGAATTATAAAAATTGAGGAAAACAACACAAACCATTTTCTTACTTTACAAAATATGTGCAGATCATAAAGTAAAACGTCTTCTTCTTGTTCTTTAGACGCATGAAACGGACAAAAAAAGCTAGATATATATTTTTTTATTGAATTTAATAAATATCGTAGTAATAACAATAATTTGTCTATTTGTTGCAGACAAATCCATCCAAGGCACGTGCATCGTCTGCGCCGCCCAGCTCGGCCCCCATCTGCAGTCGCGCCCCCTCGTGCCCAGCCAGGCGTCCCAGTACGGCCTCCGCGAGGAGCAAGTGCCGGCGAACGGGCGCGTGTGCAACACCTGCAGGTGCAAGTGCGTGCGTTCGCGCTACACCCACTGCCCGCTGCCGTCGTGCCCCAACTCGCGGGGGCGCGTCAAGCGGCTGCGCTCGTTCCCGCAGCGGCTACAGGACCTGCCAGCGGAGGTGCGCGAGCCGCTCCTCGCCGAGTTCCACGTGCCGAGCGGCGTGACCAAGTGCTGCTCGGCCTGCTTCAACCGCATCCAGCGGCGACTGGGACCCGTCGAGGAGTGGACGGAGGACGAGATCGGCCAGCTCAAGACCTGCCTGACGGAGGTCGGCGCCAACTGGCAGGCGGTCGGCGAGCGGCTGAGCAAGCCGCCGCACCAGGTCAGGGCGTTCTACGCGGCCAACCGGAAGCGGCTCAACCTGGAGGGCTGTCTAGGTAGGTGGCGGGCGTCCGCGAGCCAGAACACACAAACTGAGCTCTTCTCCGCAGGCGACCGCAAGCCCGCCCTGACCGACGAGGAGGAGAGCGGCTCGAGCACCTCCAGCTGCGAGGAGCCGATGCGAGATCGACATTCCAGCGACACGGCAAGCGCGGCCGAGAGTCCGCCCGTGATCCAGAACCAGAGCCAGAACCCGATCAAGAAGGAGGACTACGACTCGTCGGCCACGGAGACGGCCGACGAGGCGCAGACGCCGGACCACTTCCAGGGCTCGGCGACGATCACGCCGGTCACGAACGACGGCCAGATGAGGCAAAACCAGTCGCCGCTGAGCGTCAAGGACCTGGTGCTGAACGTGATCGAGCTGCAGCTGATGAAGAACCCCGGCGGGCAGGTGCAGAATCCGCCCACGAGCGGCATGGCGCCCACCATCTCGTCGATACTGAACAACGACTCGAACGAAGTCACGATAGTGAGCGAGTACAGCCTGAACCCGCAGAGGCCGGCGCGGAGCGACCTCTCGCTGGCCAAGCTGGTGACGCCGCTGATAGGCGCCACGATCACGCCGGTGCCGGCCGCGACGCACCAGCAGCAGCAGCAACAACAACAGCAGCAGGAGCAAATGAACTCGAGGTAGGTGTTTCTAGACTTTCAACGGTATCTAGAACGGCGGTTCCCAAAATCTTTTTTCGGAATAAGTGCAAAGTAAATCATACAATATCATTTTCAAAATCGAGGAATTTGATCGACGAGCTCTTCAAGGCACCCAAAATCAGGTGGAGAAAACGACAGTTTGAATTTAACGTCAAACTTGACATTTGTCGGAGCTCGGTGTGCTAACATTTGACAGTAACTTGCATGGCTGCCAACTAAGGCTATCAAAATAACTGAATTTATTTTTATGATTTTTATATTAATTAAAAAAAAAACAATTTTACAGACTTGAACTACTTATCAAATATGTTTTGTATGTACTACTTTCACATATTTTACAAATGCTGGACCCAGTTAAAAATATCTGTAGATTCGTCTAACGGCAAAGATAAATACCTGCATTTGTTCCAACAATTTGGATTCGAATATCTTCTGCAGATATAGGTATAAATAAACTGGACGAAGCTTGTAAAGAGCACGACATATCTTATCGTGAACATTAAAAGAATAATAAAATTGACACGAAACGTTAAAAAGTATTGTTCTTCTGTAGATGCACTACGATCTTTCAAGCGGAAAAATAGAAAACATACGAGACGTTTCTTGAAAAAAAAAGCGAAGGTTTCACATTCTTAAAAAAAACAGTTGGTGGAGGGCGAGAAGGTTAAAAAGACACCTGGAGCCCCTGAGAAGGTTAAAAAAAAACACTTGAAGCCCCCGAGAAGGTTTCACCTTCTTTAAAAAAAGACGGTTGGGAGTCCCGAGAAGGTTTCATATAAAAAAAAAAACACAGGGGGGCCTGAGAAGGTTTCAGATTATTAACAAGTCTTGGAACCCCCGAGAAGTTTTGTTTCTTAAAATAAAAAGCAGTTGGACCTCTGAAAAGGTTTCATTCAAAAAAAAGTTGGGATCTCCGAGAAAGTTTCATATCCTTAAAAAAGACAATTGGGACCCTCGAGAAGTTTCACTTTCTTAAAAAAAAAACGGTGCCCCCGAGGAGGTTTCAGGTTATTAAAAAAAAATAGGGGGCCGCGGGAAGGTTTTATAATATTGTTAAAAAAAAGAGATGGTTTGACCTTCTTTAAAAAAAAAAACAATTGGGGGCCCCGAGAAGGTTTCACATTCTTTAAAAAAAAACAGTAGGGGGCCTAAGAAGGTTTCATATTCTTAAGGAAGGTTTTATAATATTGTTAAAAAAAAGATTTGGGGCCTCCGAGATGGTTTAACCTTCTTAAAAAAAAAAGAGAGGGGCGGGGGGGGCTGCGAGGTTTCACATTCTTAAAAAAAAAACAGTTGGGGGGCTGAGAAGGTTTCATATTCTTAAAAAAAACACTGGGGGGCCCTGAGAAGGTTTCACCTTAAAAAAAACACTTAGGAACTCCGAGAAGGTTTCAAATGTTTAAAAAATCTTGGGACCCGAGAGAAGTTTTCTGCCTCTTAACAAAACCATTTCGGGACTCCGACAAGGTTTCACATTAAAAAAAAAGTGGGATCCCCTAGGTTACATATCCTTAAAAAAGACAATTGGGACCCTCGAGAAGGTCTCACTTTCTTAAAAAAAAGACGGTCCCCCCGAGGAGGTTCCAGGCTCTAAAAAAAACAGTTAGGGGTCCCGGGAAGGTTTTATAATTTTGTTAAAAAAAAATTTGGGGCCTCCGAGATGGTTTAACCTTCTTTAAAAAAAAAAGAGAGAGGGGGGGGCTGCGAGGTTTCACATTCTTAAAAAAAACAGTTGGGGGGGCTGAGAAGCTTTCATATTCTTAAAAAAAAAAACACTGGGGGCCCCTGAGAAGGTTTCATCTTAAAAAAAAACACTTAGGAACTCCGAGAAGGTTTCAAATGTTTAAAAAGTCTTGGGACCCGAGAGAAGTTTTCTGTCTCTTAACAAAACCATTTCGGGACTCCGACAAGGTTTCACATTAAAAAAAAAAGTGGGATCCCCTAGGTTACATATCCTTAAAAAAAGACAATTGGGACACTCGAGAAGATTTCACTTTCTTAAAAAAAACGGTGCCCCCGAGGAGGTTCCAGGTTCTAAAAAAAAACAGTTAGGGGCCCCAGAAAGGTTTTATAATATTGTTAAAAAAAGATTTGGTGCCTCCGAGATGGTTTGACCTTCTTAAAAAAAAAAGAAGATTTGGGGACCCAGACGTTTTCGCATTCTTTGAAAAAAGAGAGGGGGGGCTGCGAGGTTTCACATTCTTTAAAAAAAAAACAGTTGGGGGGGGCTGAGAATGTTTCATATTCTTAAAAAAAAAAACACTGGGGACCCCTGAGAAGGTTTCACCTTAAAAAAAAAACACTGAAAATCTCCGAGAAGGTTTCAAATGTTTAAAAAGTCTTGGGACTCGAGAGAAGTTTTCTGTCTTTAACAAAACCATTTCGGGACTCCGACAAGGTTTCACATTAAAAAAAAAGTGGGATCCCCTAGGTTACATAACCTTAAAAAAGACAATTGGGACCCTCGAGAAGGTTTCACTTTCTTAAAAAAAAAAACAACGGTGCCCTCGAGGAGGTTCCAGGTTCTAAAAAAACAGTTACGGGCCCCGGGAAGGTTTTATAATATTGTTAAAAAAAAAAGACTTGGGGCCTCCGAGATGGTTTGACCTTCTTAAAAAAAAATAAACAATTGGGGGCCCAGAAGTTTTCGCATTCTTTGAAAAAATAGAGGGGGGGGGGCTGCGAGGTTTCACATTCTTTAAAAAAAATAAAACAGTTGGAGGGCCCCGAGAAGGTTTCACATTCTTTAAAAAAACCAGTTGGGGGGCTGAGAAGGTTTCATATTCTTAAAAAAAAACACTGGGGGCGTCTGAGAAGGTTTCACCTTAAAAAAAAAAACACTTGGGAACTCCGAGAAGGTTTCAAATGTTTAAAAAATCTTGGGACCCGAGAGAAGTTTTCTGTCTCTTAACAAAACCATTTCGGGACTCCGACAAGGTTTCACAAAAAAAAAGTGGGATCCTCTAGAAGGTTGCATATCCTTAAAAAAGACAATCGGGACCCTCGAGAATGTTTCACTTTCTTAAAAAAAAAAAAAAACAATTGGCCCCGAGAAGATTTCACATTCTTTAACAAAAAAGACACTTGGGGCCCCGAGAAGGTTTGACATTTAAAAAAAAAAAGACACTTGGGACTTCGTGAAGATTAAACATTCTTAAAAAAAAAAACAGTTAGGGAACTGAGAAGATTTCATATTCTCAAAAAAAGACACTTGGGACCCCTAAGAAGGTTTCAGATTCTTAAAAAAGTCTTGGAAGCCCCGAGAAGTTTTCTGTTTCTTACAAAAAAAAAAAACAGTTGGGGTCTCCGACAAGGTTTCACATTAAAACAAAAAATTGGGGTCTCCAAGGTTTCATATTCTTAAAAAAAAGACAGTTGGGTACTACGAGAAAAAAAAACAATTGGGGCCTCCGAGAAGGTTTCACTTTCTTAAAAAAAAAAAAGAAGAGTTGGGGGCCCCGAGAAGATTTAACCTTCTCTATATAACGACAGTTGGGACCCCTAGACGGTTTTATTTTCTTAAAAAAAAAAAATACAATTTTTGGCCCGGAGAAGGTTTCAGGTTCTTTAAAAAAGACAGTTTCGGACCCCTGACAAGATTTTACCATCTCTAAAAAACCTCAGTTGGGATCCCAGAGGTTCCTCTTTCTTAAAAAAAAACAGTCGATGCTCCGAGAAGCTTTTACATTTAAAAGTACATACAATACTTTTTTTGGGGCCCCCGAGTTTCCACTTAGAAAAAAAGGTTGGAGTCCCCGAGAAGGTTTCACATTAAAAAAAAAGTTGAGGTTCCTACGAAGATTTTATTTTCTTGAAAAGACAGTTGGTGATTTTGCGATTTTCATTTTTTTGGAAATCTCTGTAAAGTTAAAACTAGTGGCGTAATTAGCAGGTGTGGATAATATGAAATATATTTAAAGTAGATCACCAACGGAAAAAATGTAGATATATTCAATCTCTTAGTACATGCTTAACTTCGTCTGTTTATGTTTATGCTAAAAAAAATTCAAATATTAGCACGTTTAGATTACAAACATCAGCGGTTATAATGAAATGAAATTTGATTTTGTCTCCTCAACTCAGAACAAAGGACTGATCAATTAATTAACCACACTCATTAACATAATCATTTTTTGTAGAGGCGATAAACGAATAGATTTTGATTAAAGATTTATCATGCTTACGATAACCTTAAAACGTTTGCAAGATTTCAGAACATTCGGTTTTGCAGTTTCATAGTTAAATTGTAAAATACAATTTCGAATTTTTCCCCGAAAATAGGTAAAAAGTCAACACGGATTCTTAAATCATACAAGCAAGAGTATGTAATTCAATCAGATTTAAGGAACACATATTCATCAATTTTTGTAAAATGACGTCATCATTTTTTATGAGAACATAAACAAAAAAAAATTGATTAACGATTTACCATGCTTACGATAACTTTAAAAAGTTTGCAAGATTTCAGAGCAGTTTCAAAGTTGAATTGCAGAATGTCGTTATAAAATTTTGATTTTTTCCCAAAAAGCTGGATGTCTAGGGTAAAAACTGAACATGGATTGATAAACCACAAGTAAAGGAGCATCTTATTTTATTAAATTGAAATATTTTTTTATATACATATAAAATTTGACGACAGTTGGTCCAGTTGTTTCGTAGATTATAAGTCTAATAAAGATCCGGACAGACGGACAGTCAGACAGATAGACAGACGGAAACGAGAAACCTATATCTTCGTACTTTGGGGAGTCATCAAACGTCAGGAAAACATAGAAGTACAATACTTCCTTAGCTTACGCTCAGGAAGTAAAAATTAAATAAAATGTTGCTTTGAAAAAATTGGGAACCACTGATCTAGAAATTCCCCACAATACCAAACTCCTCACAAATTCTCTCTTTCCAGAAACGATCTCGTCGTCCTCTCCGTACAGGACTCCCGCGAGCCCGAGACCCTCGACCTCAGCATCAAGAAACCGCGCGAGCCCCCGCCCCTTGCCCACAAGCAACACCCCCCTCAGCAAATCCACCGCGAGTACCTCCCCTACCACCAAGAGCGCAAAAGTCCCTTCCCCATCCGATCCCAGCCCAAACTCCCCAGCCCCAAACCCGCCAACCCCAAATCCGGCTCCATCACCCTCGGCACCCCCATCATCAACCAGCAGCCGCGCTACGAGGGCCTCCTTCGCCAGATGACGCCCGAGACGAAGATGGGCTCCATCACACAAGGCACCCCCATCCACATGCCCCACATGCAGGAAAAACGCGTCTACGACTACTTCAACAAGCGCGGCGTCCCCCAGAATTCGCCGCAGCCTGGAGCGTACCCTCAATACAGGCAACAGAGTTTCACCGTGGAACAGCAGCTTAGTTCAAGGCAGATCATCATGAACGATTATATAACGAGCCAGCAGATGCTGGGGCGGCGGAACGAGAAAGCGGGCTACTACCCGACGAGTAGCCCGCACAGGACGCCGCCCCCGGTGAGTCAGCAGAACCAACAGCGGCAAGGGGTGATCCAGCGACACACCAGACCCTATCTGCCGCCAGGCCACGAGGCGTTGTCGAGTTTAGTGGACGTGGCGGTGCAGCAGCCGAGTCTCCCGGTGCCGAACGCCCCTCACGAGGGCTTGGGGAAGACGATGGCCGACAACATCATGGAGCAGCCGCACCGCTTCCAGATCATCCAGCAGCACCAGCAGATGAGGCAGCAGCAGCAGCGGATGGAGGAGCAGCAGCGCAGGATCGTGTACCAGCAGCAGCAAACGAGGCAGTCGCGCGAAAGCTCCACGTCGCTGACGGCGGCGAGTTTGATCGACGCCATCATCACGCACCAGATCAACCAGACGAGCGAAGGGGGGCGGGAGATGGTGACGGCGGCGCGGGAGACGCGAGCTGGAGACTTGCTGTTCCAGGGCTTGCCAGCGTTGGCGCAGCAGGACAACAACGGGGAGCGACCGTCGTCGGTGATCAGTATAGACCTGGAGGCGGAAACTGTGAACAAGAACCTGACGGTGAAGGAGCTGACGGATTCGGTGATCAGTCACGACTTTGGTTCGCGGGGGCCGAATTATTATCACGTGGATAACGTTAATGAGCAGTGGAAGCGGCGGCTGCACCAGCAGAAGGAGGACAAGAGGGCGGTGACGCCCCAGCAGGACGAGAGGCAGATTATAAGGATTGCGCAGCCGCAGAAGTACCACGTGGAGCCGGTGTCGCCCCCGGATAATCATTGGAGTGCGGAGCAGAATTTCAGGAGGTACCAGCAGCCGCAGCCGCAGCAGAATCAGCACATTTCGCCGTTGGACTACGTGAAGAACAGGATAGTGGAGGTGATGAGGACGGAGGACGACAAGAAGGACGCGCAGGAGAGCCAGGAGAAGGAGCGGAGCGACAGTCCGGGGGAGATGGTGATCGACGAAGAGAAGCACGAGGAGCAGCAGCAGCAACAGCAACAAGGATTCGGTTTTCCTTATGTTCATAAAGAGAGCACTGCCAACGATAGTTCAAGGAGTAACGAGCCGAAGCCGTTGCTGTCGGCGCAGTACGAACCCTTGTCCGACGAGGATTAGTGTAACGGAGCTTTGTCTGTATATATCGATAAGTGATAAATAGGTTAGGCTAGTGTTAAATGTAATGACTCTCGGCCCGGCTCACCGGGTCGGTTAGCGTCCATTTTAGTTTCTTTTTTAATTCATGATTATTTTAATTGTAGATAACAGTTTTACTTTACTGTAAATACAACTGTAAACATTAAGGTTAAGTGTAAGCTAGGGAATAGTTCGATCTATTGCATAACCTCAAAATTTGATATTTATGTGAGTCGAGATACGACGGTATGCGATGTCCAGTTTTTTGCATTTCCAACTAACTTCATTTCAGTGTTTGTGTTTCTTTGCTGTTCGTGCAATGGATGTGTTTCGTTCAATCAGTTCGGGTTTGTCGCTTATTTACCTTCTTTTCATAAGTGTATTTTCTGTATATTTTTTGGAAATGTAAATAAACCCAAATTTAATATAAATATAACATAGCGCGTAAGGGATTAAACAAAGTTGTAAATACTTGTGAATTTTCTCCTTTTTTAATCTTCTGTTTTTACGAAGTAATTTAAGTCTTTAACGCTTTCACGTCCGGACGAGACGAACTGATGATTTTTCTACACACTATGAGAGGACAAAAAAATGCTTCCAAAATATGTGTACACTGTCGATTTTTTAGTTTGTATTTTCAAATAGTAATTTGTTATTTTGTTGAAATAAATTAAATATCAGTTTGACATTTGGCTTTTTTCAAACACCCACATGGACCGCAGCGCCCTCTGACTTAATCAATACGAGTGCCAGCGAGCACATGTAGGTGACGACGATGGCGGAGGGCACGTACGAATATGAGTGCATGAGAGCCGAATTGTTGGGCATAGAAAAGCCCGACTATGAAGACTTCCTCAAGAAGAAACAAGAACGAGAGGCTGCCGCCGAAGAAGAACGGGACACCGAAAATTTGAAGGTAGGGGCGTTATTCATTCTTACCTGTATTTAAACGTCGCATTTAATTATTTCGTGTATAACTAAGTTCTAGGCAAACTTTTTTAGTTTTAATTTGAAGTTACAAGATTAAAAAAAAATACATATTCAGATAATTTTGTTTCTAAAAAAATGTATCTAGTTCTCATAGTATCATTTTAAGAAGATTAAGTTGAAGTTTTAGTCAATTTTCATTTATATTTTTGACATTTTACATTTTCGATGACCCAGAAATGTCATGTTGTCAACCGATTTCTGGGTTAAGTTATTTGTCAACTTGACATATGACTTACTAAGTGACATTTCTGTAAAAAATTGCGGTTTTAACCTCAAATTACGTTGACAGTTTGATGGAGTGTAGAGTGGGAATACTGCGAGAAGTCATCACAGTCGTGTCACTTTAAGCAATCACTTCTCGGTTATTTGATTTTTTTTCTTTATTTTTTTTTAGTGATGTAACACTTGACGTGTGTTATTGGGTTAATCCTTAAACAATTAACCACTTCCGCTCTGACGTGTCGATCCATGGAAAGATAAATGTTTTGCAGCGATTAATTAATTGCCGGTTTTTCTGTAAATGAGACCAACTTTGTTGTTTTAAATAGAATGCGATATGGAAAAAATAAAGTGGAAATGCATAATTCATTTAATAAATAAAAATGTAAATTACGTACGTATGTAAATGAAATGTAAAATGAAATACTTTAAAAACATACTCCATTCCAGTAAAAAAAAATCGATGTCATTCCTGGCAATTCCGACACTACTGTGATTCTGTAGTAGATACATACATTTTATGGATTTTTTGCATAAATTGACATCCCACGCTTAAAAAATTTGTTCTTTGTAAAAATAAAAAATATTCCAGTTGACACTCAAAAAAAAATACATTCTAGCCAAAGGACATGTCATTTCCGAAAAAACCAAATATGACCACATTTGTGCTCCCTATACCGGGTGTCTGGAAAATGGCGGATTAACTCCTCAGTACGGTATATAGGGAGTCCTAAAAAAATCTTTATGATGTAGATTTTATCAGTCTTATCTTATCAAATAGTAGCCCCGCCCACCCACCCTCTATATTCTTGGAGGATATGTGATTTGCCAAAATCATTCGTATCTTGTTCAAATGGGTAATCTTTATTTATTGATTTATATTTTAAATATTACATAATGCAGACTGTTGCTCTGTGTACTGAATTAAGTAAAAAAGCACTAGCCCCGCCCGCCCACCCTCTATTTTCTTGAAGGGTATGTGATTTACCTAAATCAGTCTTACCTTAGCAAGTACTAGCTCCCCTCTTCTCATTCTAAAGACTATAATTTTGTTTCTTTTCGGTATGAAATTTCATTCAGATCAGATTGTCTATTGTCTCAAATAAACAAATTTTAAACATTTCTGTGAATATGCAAAAAGTGTATTCTTAAAATAATTGTATTTTGTGAAACAAAAACTAATAATTATTTCCCTTTTTATACACAAAATTTTTATACCGAGCTATTTTGACGGAACTGTAAAATTACTATACTTCAATTGGCGATTTTGGAAAAACGATAGGAATTTCCGAAGCAGCGAAGCCGAAAATGACTCCTGGATATCAAAAGTGCCAAAATCAGTTTTATCTTATCAAATACTAGCCCCGCCCACCCACCCTGTATTTTCTTGGAAGGTATGTGATTTGCCAAAATTAGTCTCATCTTAGCAAGTACTACCCCCATCCACCCCTCTTTTCTCATTCTAACGACTAATTTGATTTCTTTTCACTATAAGATAATTCATTTCATTCAGATCGGATAAAATCAGTCACCGAAACGGCGACAGGGTGGGTAGGCGGGGCAAATTATGTTCTTCTGTTGAGTCGGAGTGAAAAAAGAATGTAAAAAATGTAAAAAACGCCATTCGTATTTTTTTTTGTTATACTATTTGTTATAAAAATTACTTCTTATTTCATGCACCTAACCTGACTTGACCTAACGTGACCTGACCTGTTCTGACTTTTCTGTTGTCTGAAATAAACAAATTTTAAACATTTCTGTGAATATCTAAAAATAAATAAATTTTTATACCGAGCTATTTTGACGGAGCTGTAAAAATTCCTATATTTCAATTGGCGATTTTGGAAAAACGGTAGAAATTTCCGCAGAAATGAAGCCAAAAATGACTTATGGATATCGAAATCTATAAGAAAAAAATCTAACTAATTTTCGAAAATAGTTGAAAAATGGTCGAAAATGTTAAAAGTGCCAAAATCAGTTTGATCTTATCAAATACTAGCCCCGCCCACCCACCCTCTATTTTCTTGGAGGGTATGTGATTGCCAAAATCAGTTTTACTTATCAAATACTAGCCCCGCCCACCCACCCTCTATTTTCTTGGAGGGTATGTGATTTGCCAAAATCAGTTTTATCTTATCAAATACTAGCCCCGCCCACCCACCCTCTACTTTCTTGGAGGGTATGTGATTTGTCAAAATCAGTCTCATCTTAGCAAATACTAGCCCCGCCACCCCCCCTCTTCTCATTCTAACGACTAATTTTATTTCGTTTCAATATAAGATAATTAATTTCATTTATATCGGATAAAATCAATCACTGAAATGTAGGCAAGGTGGGTGGGCGGGGCTAATTATGTTCTTCTGTTGAGTGGGAATGGAAAAAATATGTGAAAAAAGTAAAAACAAAACGCCATTCGTAATTTTTTTTGTTATACTATTTGTTATAAAATTTATTTCTTGTGTATTTCATGCACCTGACCTTACTTGACCTAACGTGATCTGACCTGTTCTGACTTTTCTAGTGTTTCAAATAAACAAATTTTAAACATTTTTGTGAATATATAAAAACCTAAAGTACATTCTTAAAATAATTGTATTTTGTGAAACAAAAATTAATAATTATTTCCCTTTTTATCTACAAAATTTTTACACCGAGGTATTTTGACGGAATTGGAAACATTCCTATATTTCAATTGGCGATTTTGGAAAAACGGTACAAATTTCCGAAGCAGCGAAGCCAAAAATGGCTTCTGGATATCGAAACCTACAAGACAATGTCAAAAGTGCCAAACTCAGTTTTATCTTATTAAATACTAGCCCCGCCCACCCACCCTCTATTTTCCTGGAGGGTATGTGATTTTCCAAAATCAGTCTCATCTTAGCAAATATTAGCCCCACCCACCCACCCCCCTCTTCTCATTCTAACGACTAATTGTATTTCTTTTCACTATAAGATTATTATTCATTTCACTCAGATCGGATAAAATCAATCACTGTGGGCGGGGCTAATTATGTTCTTCTGTTGAGTGGGAGTGGAAAAAGAATGTGAAGAAAGTAAAAAAAACCCAGTGGTATTTTTTTTTTTTGTTATACTATTTGCTATAAAATTTACTTCTTATTTCATGCACCTGACCTGACTTGACCTAAGCTGACCTGACCTGTTCTGACTTTTCTATTGTCTCAAATAAACAAATTTTAAACATTTGTGTGAATATATAAAAATAAATAAATTTTTATACCGAGCTATTTTGACGGAACTGTTAAAATCAATATATGTATTTCAATTGGCGATTTTGGAAAAACGGTAGAAATTTCCGCAGAAATGAAGCCAAAAATGACTTATGGATATCGAAATCTACAAGAAAAAGTCTAATTAATTTTCGAAAATAGTTGAAAAATGGTCGAAAATGTCAAAGTGCCAAAATCAGATTTATCTTATTAAATACTAGCCCCGCCCACCCACCCTCTATTTTCTTGGAAGGTACGTGATTTGCCAACCTCAGTTTTATCTTATCAAATACTAGCCCCGCCCACCCACCCTCTATTTTCTTGGAAGGTATGTCATTCGCCAAAATCAGTATTACCTTAGCAAGTACGAGCCCCCACCCCCCTCCCACCTCTTCTCAATCTAACGACTAATTTGATTCGTGTTCAGTAGTACTATCAAATTGGATAAAATCAATCACTGAAATCGAGCAGGGTGGGTGGGCGGGGCTAATTGTGTTCTTCTGCTGAGTGGGAGTGGAAAAAAAACCCAGTGGTATTTTTTTTTTTTTTGTTATACTATTTGCTATAAAATTTACTTCTTATTTCATGCACCTGACCTGACTTGACCTAAGCTGACCTGACCTGTTCTGACTTTTCGATTGTCTCAAATAAACAAATTTTAAACATTTGTGTGAATATATAAAAATCAATAAATTTTTATACCGAGCTATTTTGACGGAACTGTAAAAATCAATATATGTATTTCAATTGGCGATTTTGGAGAAACGGTAGGAATTTCCGCAGAAATGAAGCCAAAAATGACTTATGGATATCGAAATCTACAAGAAAAGGTCTAACTAATTTTCGAAAATAGTTGAAAAATGGTCGAAAATGTCAAAGCCCCAAAATCAGTTTTATCTTAGCAAATACTAGCCCCGCCCACCCACCCTCTATTTTCTTGGAGGGTATATGATTTGCCAAAATCAGTATTACCTTAGCAAGTACGAGCCCCCCCCCACCTCTTCTCAATCTAACGACTAATTCGATTCGTGTTCAGTAGAACTATCAAATTGGATAAAATCAATCACTGAAATCGAGACAGGGTGGGTGGGCGGGGCTAATTATGTTCTTCTGTTGTGTAGGAGTGGAAAATAGTTGAAAAATGGTCGAAAATGTCAAAGCCCCAAAATCAGTTTTATCTTATTAAATACTAGCCCCGCCCACCCACCCTCCATTTTCTTGGAGAGTGTGATTTGCCAAAATCAGTTTCATCTTATCAAATACTAGCCCCGCCCACCCACCCTCTATTTTCTTGGAGGGTATATGATTTGCCAAAATCAGTATTACCTTAGCAAGTACGAGCCCCCCCCCCCCACCTCTTCTCATTCTAACGACCTATTTTATTCGTGTTCAGTAAAACTATCAAGTCGGATAAAATCAATCACTGAAACCGAGACAGGGTGGGTGGGCGGGGCTAATTATGTTCTTCTGTTGAGTGGGAGTGGAAAATTTTCGAAAATAGTTGAAAAATGGTCGACAATGTTAAAAGTGCCAAAATCAGTTTTATCTTATCAAATACTAGCCCCGCCCACCCACCCTCTATTCTCTTGGAGGCTATGTGATTTGCCAAAATTAGTTTCATCTTATCAAATACTAGCCCCGCCCACCCACTCTCTACTTTCTTGGAGGGTATGTGATTCACCAAAATCAGTCTTACCTTAGCAACTACGAGCCCCCCCCCCCCCCCCACCTCTTCTCATTCTAACGACTAATTTTATTCGTGTTCAGTAGAACTATCAAATGGGATAAAATCAATCATTGAAACCGAGACAGGGTGGGTGGGCGGGGCTAATTATGGTCTTCTGTTGAGTGGGAGTGGAAAAAGAATGTGAAGAAAGTAAAAAAAACCCAGTGGTATTTTTTTTTGTTATACTATTTGCTATAAAATTTACTTCTTATTTCATGCACCTGACCTGACTTGACCTAAGCTGACCTGACCTGTTCTGACTTTTCGATTGTCTCAAATAAACAAATTTTAAACATTTGTGTGAATATATAAAAATAAATAAATTTTTATACCGAGCTATTTTGACGGAACTGTAAAAATCAATATATGTATTTCAATTGGCGATTTTGGAAAAACGGTAGGAATTTCCGCAGAAATGAAGCCAAAAATGACTTATGGATATCGAAATCTACAAGAAAAGGTCTAACTAATTTTCGAAAATAGTTGAAAAATGGTCGAAAATGTCAAAGTGCCAAAATCAGATTTATCTTATTAAATACTAGGCCCCGCCCACCCACCCTGTATTTTCTTGGAAGGTACATGATTTGCCAACCTCAGTTTTACCTTATCAAATACTAGCCCCGCCCACCCACCTTCTATTTTCTTGGAGGGTATTTGCCAAAATCAGTATTACCTTAGCAAGTACGAGCCCCCCCCCCCACCTCTTCTCAATCTAACGACTAATTTGATTCGTGTTCAGTAGAACTATCAAATTGGATAAAATCAATCACTGAAATCGAGACAGGGTGGGTGGGCGGGGCTAATTATGTTCTTCTGTTGTGTAGGAGTGGAAAATAGTTGAAAAATGGTCGAAAATGTTAAAAGTGCCAAAATCAGTTTGATCTTATCAAATACTAGCCCCGCCCACCCACCCTCTATTTTCTTGGAGGGTATGTGATTGCCAAAATCAGTTTTATCTTATCAAATACTAGCCCCGCCCACCCACTCTCTACTTTCTTGGAGGGTATGTGATTCACCAAAATCAGTCTTACCTTAGCAAGTACGAGGTGGGGGGGGGCCACCTCTTCTCATTCTAACGACTAATTTTATTCGTATTCAGTAAAACTATCAAATCGGATAAAATCAATCACTGAAACCGAGACAGGGTGGGTGGGCGGGGCTAATTATGTTCTTCTGTTGAGTGGGGTGGAAAATTTTCGAAAATAGTTGAAAAATGGTCGACAATGTTAAAAGTGCCAAAATCAGTTTTATCTTATCAAATACTAGCCCCGCCCAGCCACCCTCTATTCTCTTGGAGGCTATGTGATTTGCCAAAATTAGTTTCATCTTATCAAATACTAGCCCCGCCCACCCACTCTCTACTTTCTTGGAGGGTATGTGATTCACCAAAATCAGTCTTACCTTAGCAACTACGAGCCCCCCCCCCCCCCCCACCTCTTCTCATTCTAACGACTAATTTTATTCGTGTTCAGTAGAACTATCAAATGGGATAAAATCAATCATTGAAACCGAGACAGGGTGGGTGGGCGGGGCTAATTATGGTCTTCTGTTGAGTGGGAGTGGAAAAAGAATGTGAAGAAAGTAAAAAAAACCCAGTGGTATTTTTTTTTGTTATACTATTTGCTATAAAATTTACTTCTTATTTCATGCACCTGACCTGACTTGACCTAAGCTGACCTGACCTGTTCTGACTTTTCGATTGTCTCAAATAAACAAATTTTAAACATTTGTGTGAATATATAAAAATAAATAAATTTTTATACCGAGCTATTTTGACGGAACTGTAAAAATCAATATATGTATTTCAATTGGCGATTTTGGAAAAACGGTAGGAATTTCCGCAGAAATGAAGCCAAAAATGACTTATGGATATCGAAATCTACAAGAAAAGGTCTAACTAATTTTCGAAAATAGTTGAAAAATGGTCGAAAATGTCAAAGTGCCAAAATCAGATTTATCTTATTAAATACTAGGCCCCGCCCACCCACCCTGTATTTTCTTGGAAGGTACATGATTTGCCAACCTCAGTTTTACCTTATCAAATACTAGCCCCGCCCACCCACCTTCTATTTTCTTGGAGGGTATTTGCCAAAATCAGTATTACCTTAGCAAGTACGAGCCCCCCCCCCCCACCTCTTCTCAATCTAACGACTAATTTGATTCGTGTTCAGTAGAACTATCAAATTGGATAAAATCAATCACTGAAATCGAGACAGGGTGGGTGGGCGGGGCTAATTATGTTCTTCTGTTGTGTAGGAGTGGAAAATAGTTGAAAAATGGTCGAAAATGTTAAAAGTGCCAAAATCAGTTTGATCTTATCAAATACTAGCCCCGCCCACCCACCCTCTATTTTCTTGGAGGGTATGTGATTGCCAAAATCAGTTTTATCTTATCAAATACTAGCCCCGCCCACCCACTCTCTACTTTCTTGGAGGGTATGTGATTCACCAAAATCAGTCTTACCTTAGCAAGTACGAGGTGGGGGGGGCCACCTCTTCTCATTCTAACGACTAATTTTATTCGTATTCAGTAAAACTATCAAATCGGATAAAATCAATCACTGAAACCGAGACAGGGTGGGTGGGCGGGGCTAATTATGTTCTTCTGTTGAGTGGGGTGGAAAATTTTCGAAAATAGTTGAAAAATGGTCGACAATGTTAAAAGTGCCAAAAGCAGTTTTATCTTATCAAATATTAGCCCCGCCCACCCTCTATTTTCTTGGAAGGTATGCGATTCGCCAAAATGCGTCTTATCCTAGGAAGTACTAGCTGGCTAAGATAAGACTGATTTTGGCAATCACATACCCTCCAAGAAATAGAGGGTGGGTGGGCGGAGCTAGCACTTTTGATTTTGTTTTAAATCTTAAATCCTTCCGTTTGTCAAAACAGATTTCAATTTCCATTTCACAATAAATAAAATAAGTTGGCCAAATGAGGACGGAGGTGGGCGGAGCTATATTCAGCTTTTTCAATAAACTTAGGAGCAAACACTAGCCTCGCCCACCCACCCACCTTCATTTCAGTGATTCATTTGTCTACTCTGAATGAAAGGTGGAGCTTACGCTAAACAGAAATAAAAGTAGCCGTTAGAATGTGAAGAACTCGGGTGGGCGGGGTTACTGGTTGCTATGATAAAACTGATTTTGGCAAATGGCATACCCTCTAAGAAAATAAAGGGCGGGTGGGTGGGGCTAGTACCTGCTAAGTTAAGACTGATTTTGACAAAAGATATACCCTTTAAGAAACTGGAGGGTGGGTGGGCGGGGCTAGTATTTGATAAGATAAAACTGATTTTGGCAAATGGCAGAGAGTGTAGCGGAGAGTTAATCCGCCATTTTCCACCCGGTATAGCGATGCCATTTCCGGAAAAACCAAAGATGACTAAATTTGTACACACTTTATAGCGATTTTTGTGTTAATTTTCCATTTTATTATTTTAAATTTAAATAAGTGCTTCAATTCCAGTAGTAAGAAAAAAATTAATGTCTTTTCCGGAAAATCGAACATCGATGTCATTCTGTAGTATACACATAATATAGATTTTTTTTATCAATTGACGTTCCAGGTTTTAAAATTTATTTTTTCATTATAAAAATAAAAAATATTCTATTTGTGCCTCAAACAAACTTCAATTCTAATTAAAAAAGAATTCGACGTCATTTCCGGAAAAATCGACGGTGACTAAATCTGTAAAGATTTTGGACCGATTTTTGTGTTAATTATCCAGTTTAAATTTAAAAAAGTACTCTCTGAAATATTTCAAAAACATACTCAGAGTAGTACGAAAAACATTAATGTCATTTCCGGAAAATCGGACACTGATGATTGTGTAGTATACATATTTATAGATTTTTTGCATCAATTGACTAACATTCTAGGCTTTAAAATTTTGTTTTTAAATGTAAAAATGAAAAAAAAAAACCATTTGACCCTAAAAAAGTGCTACATTCTAATTGGAAAAAAGAGGATAATGTCATTTCCGGAAAAAACAAAGGTGACTAAGTTTGTACTGATTTTGTACCGATTTTTGTGTTAATTGCCGATTTTAAATTTAAAAAAGTACTGGCTGGAACACTTTAAGAACGTACTCAATTTCAGTAGTAAGAAAAAAATTAATGTCATTTCCGGAAATTTGGACATTAATTTTTAATTTCCATTTTTACTTCAAAAACACACTCCATTCCAGTAATAAAAAAAAATAATGTTGTTTCCCCACTTCCAGGAAGCCGACCTGGAAGACGAATCAATGAAACACATATCCGGAGGTTTGGATGAACTGAACAGCATCCTGCAAGTAACCCAGCGAAAAATCCACAGGTTCAAAGTAGGCCAAAATCCGAGTATCATCCCAAAACCCGTGACGTCCCCTCTTGCTTTCAGGCATCCTGCAGCTCGCTCACCAGCCTGCTCAAGTTCAAAATCGGCACTTCGTCCTCATCCGAGCCGTTAGAGAGCGCCGCCCCCGAGAATCCCGAGCCGATCGACAGCCAGTCGCCCCCGGTGAGCGTCAACGGCACCTGCAGCACCGAAGGGGGCACCCGAAAAAGCGACTTAGCCAAGGCTCTAGACACCCACTTGGACCGGTACGACGCCATGATCGAGAAGGCCGAGAACGCTCAATACAGCATGGCTCACCAAAACAAAGAGATGAAGAGGTTCTTGAACTGAGAGCGCTTCTTGATGTGATTTTTTCTACTATCTTGTTGTTAAGTGTAGTTGTTTTTGTTGAGTTTTAGCTTAACGATGATGGTGTGATGGGGGAAAAAGCCTGAGATGCGGTTGAGTACCCACGGTTTAACCTGTGCTTCCAGCTTAATATCGATATTTTTTATCATATTGTTGAAGAGGTTATATTATTGTAACATATTGATGTCGTCCGTTTTATGTAGTTCGTTAGTGTACTTTATGTGTGAGAGGCTCAGTTGCTGACTGGGGTTTGTGCACGAAAATGTACCTTATGACGATGGGCGGGGCCTTGATTTGCAATCGAAGCGTTGCCTACTTATTCAGGGTAGAGAGTTAGGCGAAATTTGGAAAAATAAATATTCCGTTTTTGAGCACTGGGTGGTTTTTCTCTTACTTTTTCCCATGGTACGTTGTGAAAAATAATACAAACAAGTTTCTATTTAGACTAAATTTATAAGAACAACAGCGTAATAAATTTGATAAAAAAAAGCGTGCACTGATAACTGTTGCTGCTGATGATCATGGCTTGCATTCTTTTTTAATTTTTACTAAACTCTGTTGCTGTGACTAATATTTGAAAAAGTATTAACAGTTTGTTTATTCAAAGATTTGTAATTTTATTCATAAAATTTCAAGAATTATTTTTGTAAGTTTTAAATACGTCATCACGATTTATGGTGGATATTTATCGGAACGGCCATGAAACACAAAAAAACAGCTAGAACTCCCTAAATTTTTAATTAAACTAGTTTTAATTGTTCTGACCCCCAAACTTACGAATTCTTTTAAGACTCAGTATTGGGTTTGTAAGACACTTTTATTTCACTTATTCTCAAATTAAACTCACTTTGTTTGCTGTCGCAAACTGATTGATGGATATTAGGCGAAATAGATTGATGGGTATCAAGTTTGCGCATGCCGTAGGTCGACAAGGGTGTGACAAGGGTAAACGGAGGGCAGTTAGAATTTTTTATAAATCGCTCTTTAAATATATTGGTTAGTTTATTTAACGTGTCTATTTCTTGAATTTGTGATTTTATTTTTTAATTTAACCAGATTTGGTACTTTTACTGCATTTTTCGCACATTTTTCTTTTTCATATTTTATTTGCATCTCCTTTTGCCTCTGTTTGTCCACATTCTATTTACGTATTCTTTTTTTCTGTCTGTCAAACGAGAATAGAATAACAAAACAAAATACAAATCACTGGACCAATTGTGTCTCGTTTTTTGAGAGAATTTGAAAGAATTTTGAAAACATCTCGTGTCATATTTATAATAAAATCTTAAAAGATCGTTACTTGGAAGGAATTTGACAGAATTTCAGGCACTTCTAGTGTCTTGTTTTTGAGAGAACCCTTTGTGTCTTATTTTTGACAAAATTTGAAAAACTTTCGAGGATTCTTTGTGCTATTTTTGAAAAAATTGAAGTAATCCTAGTGTTTTCATTTTTGAAAGAATTTGGAAAAATCTCGAAAACATCTACTTTCATATTTTTTAATGAATTTGAAAGAACTTCGAAATACCATTGCGTTTTGTTTTTAAAAGAATCTTGAAGTATCCTTGTGTCTTATTTAGAAAGAAGCTGACAGAATGTCAGTAACTCCTGGTGTCTTATTTAGTTATTTATGAAAGAATCTGAAGGAATCCAGGGGACTCTTGGAATCTTGTTTTTAAGATAGTTTGAAAAAATCTCTGGAGTTTCTGGTTTGATGTTTAAAAATATTTCAGAGAATTTCGGCTTCTGCTGTTTTATTTAAAAAAAAAATTGAAAGAACCGTAGGTATCCTTGGTGTTTTTTTTTTTGTTTTTTTGACAAAAATTTGAGAGAATCTTAGGAACTCCTGCTGTCTTATGTTTGAAAGAATTTGCAAGAATCTCGGGATCCGTTGTGTTTAATTTTTAACAGAATTTGAAAAATCTTGAGGACCGCTGGTGAGTTAATTTTTACAGAATTTCGAACATCCATGGTAATTGTTTATCTTATTATTTTAAGGAATTTCAAAGAATCTCGGGTATTCCTGGAATTTTGTTTTTGAAAGAATTTGAAGGAATCTGGGAAACTTCTATCTTGTTTTTAAGACAATCTGAAAGAATCCCGGACATCCATGGTAACTTTTTTTTATAAAAGAATTTCGGATCCCAGTAGAGTCTTCTTTTTGAGAAAAATTGAAGGAATTTCGGGGATTCTTTTTGAGAGAATTTGAAAAAATCTAGAAAATCCCTGGAGTCTTGTTTAGTGGGAAATTATCTTAAGGACCCTTTATCTTATTTTGGAAAAATTTTGTAAAAAATCTATGTGTTATTTACTTTTTAACGACTGAAAGAACCATCTGGAGACTTGTTTTTTAAAGAATTTGAAGGAATTTTGGGAGAATTTGAAAAAATCTCGAATTACCCTGGTGTCTTGTTTTTTTGAAACGTCTTAAGGACCCTTTGTGTCTTATTTTGGAAAAATTTAGGAAAAATCACAAAGATCCCTGGGGTTATCTATTTTTTAACGACTTTGAAAGAACCGTTAAGGATCCCTGGAATTTTATTTTTTAAAGCATTTGAAAGAATTTCGAGTCTTTGGTGTTTTATATTTGAAAAAATTTAAAAGAATCTCACAGGCTTCTAGTATTTTATTTTTTTTTTAAATTTAAAAGAATCTCGGATCCCCTGAAGTCTTCTTTTTGAAAGATTTTGAAGGAATTTCGGGGAGTCCTTTTGAGAGAATTTAAAAAAAGCTCCAAGATCCCTGGAGAATTTCAAAGAATCTCAGGTATCCCTGGATTCTTGTTTTTGAAAGAATTTGAAGGAATCTGGAGGACTCCTGCTATCTTGTTTTTAAGATATTTTGAAAAAATCTCGAGCATTCATGGTGTTTGGTTTCAAAAGAATCTCGTGTACTATTTTGTAGGAATTTGAAGGAATTTCGAGGACTTCTTTTGACAGAATTTGAAAAAATCTGTATCTTGTTGACAAAAAAAAAGAAAGAAAGAAAGAATCTTGGAGACCTCTGCTGTTTTATTTTTGAAAGAATTTGAAACAACCGTAGTTTCCTTTTTGAAAAAATTTGAAGAAATTTCCGGGACTTTTTTTTCAAAATTAGAAAAATCTCAAAGACCCCTGGAGTTACTTATTTTTTAAAGACTTTTAAGGATACCGGGTGTTTTATTTTTGAAAGCATTTGAAAAAATTTCGAAAGTTTCTGGTGTTTTATATTTGAAAGAATCTCAAGAGCCTCTAGTATTTTATTTTTTAAAGGATTTGAAAAAATCTTGGATCCTCTGGAGTCTTCATTTTGAAAGAATTTGAAGGAATGTCGGGGAGTCCTTTTGAGAGAATTTAAAAAAATCTCCAAGATCCCTGGAGTATTGTTTTTGGAACGATTTTGAGGATCCTTTGTGTCTTCTTTTGGAAAAAAATAGAACAATCTCAAAGACCCCTAAATTTATTTATTGTTTGAAGACTTTGAAACAACTGTAGGGATTTCTGGTGTTTTTTTTTTTTTTGAAAGAATTTGGAGAGTCTCTGGTGTTTTATGTTTGAAAGAATTTGAAGAATCTCAAGAGCCTTAGTATTTAATTTTTTAAGGAATTTGAAAGAATCTCGGATACTCCTGGAGTCTTTTTGAAAGAATTTGAAGGAATTTCGGGGACTCTTTCTGAGAAAATTTGAAAAAATCTCGAAGATCCCTGATGTTTTGTTTTTTGAAACGATCTTTGTGTCTAATTTTGAAAAAAAAAATTGGAAAAATCTCAAAGACCCCTGAGGTTATTTATTTTTTAAAGACTTTGAAAGAACCGTAGGGATCCTTGGAGTTTTTTTTTAAATCATTTGAAAGAATTTTGATAGTCTGTGGTGTTTTATATTTGAAAGAATTTGAAAGAATCCTGGATATCTCTGAAGTCTTCTTTTTGAAAGGATTTGAAGGAATTTCGGGGATTCTTTTTGAGAGAATTTGAAAAAAATCTCAAAGACTCCCGGTGTTATTTATTTTTTAAAGACTTTGAAAGAACCGTAGAAATGCCTGGAGTTTTATTTTTGAAAGCAGTTGAAAGAATTTCGAGAGTTCCTGGTGTTTTATATTTGAAAGAATTTGAAGAATCTCAAGGGCCTTAGTATTTAATTTTTTAAGGAGTTTAAAAGAATCTCGGATACTCCTGGAGTCTTTTTGAAAGAATTTGAAGGAATTTCGGGGACTCTTTCTGAGAAAAAATGAAAAAACTTCGAAGGTCCCTGGTGTCTTGTTTTTCGAAACGATCTTAAGGACCCTTTGTGTCTGATTTTGGAAAAAAATTGGAAAAGTCTCAAATACCCCTGGTATATATGATTTATTTTTTAAAAATTTTAAAAGAATCGTAAGGATCCCTAGTGTTTTATTTTTTAAAGAATCTCTGATACCCCTGGGTGTTCTTTTTGAAAGAATTTGACGGATACCTCTGGAGTCTTCTTTTTGAAAATCTTTGAAGGAATTTCGGAGACTTCTTTTGAGAGAATTTGAAAAAATTTCGAAGATCCCCGGTGTTTTGTTTTTTGAAAAGATTTTGAGGATTTTTGTGTCTAATTTTGGAAAAAAAAAATGGAAACATCTCAAAGACCCCTGGTGTTATTTATTTTTTATATACTTTGAAACAGCTGTAGATATCTATGGAATTTTATTTCTGAAAGTATTTGGAAGGATTTCGAAGGGCCTCAAGTATTTTATTTTTTAAAGAATTTGAAGGAATCTCGGATCTATCCCTCTGGAGTCTTCTTTTTGATTTGAAGGAATTCGAGGACTTCTTTTGAGAGAATTTGAAAAAATCTTGAAGATCGCTGGTGTCTTCTCTCTTAAAAATCATCTTTGTCTTATTTTGGAACAAGTCTGAGAAAATCTCAAAGGGATCTGTTATTTGAAAGAACTTCGAGGGTCTCTAGTGTTTTATATTTGAAAGAATTTGTAGAATCTCACGGACCCTAGTATTTTATTTTTTAGAATTTGAAAGAATCTCGAATACTCTTGAAGTCTTTTTGAAAAAATTTGAAGGAATATCGGGGAGTCCTTTTGAGAGAATTTAAAAAAAGCTCCAAGATCCCTGGAGTATTGTTTTTTGGAACGATTTTGAAGATCCTTTGTGTCTTCTTTTAGAAAAAAATAGAACAACCTCAAAGACCCCTAGATTTATTTATTGTTTGAAGACTTTGAAAGAACTGTAGGGATTTCTGCTGGTGTTTTTTTTTTTTTTGAAAGAATTTGGACAGTCTCTAGTGTTTTATGTTTGAAAGAATTTGAAGGAATTTCGGGGACTCTTTCTGAGAAAATTTGAAAAAATCTCGAAAATCCTTGATGTTTTGTTTTTTGAAACGATCTTTTTGTCTAATTAAAAAAAAATTGGAAAAATCTCAAA